TGTTATGGGTAACAATCATACTCAATACAAATGTTTGTATTGTGCGACGAATCGAACTCGCGACCATCAGAGATAAACCGCTAACCTAAACCGCTAGACCACCGTCAAATAAACATAGATACAACATTAAAGAGAATCTATTAATATCAACGACTATCGTTTTACGATATGCATCAAATTAGAATCATATGAGATAGTAGCATTCATACACAGTCATACAAACATCTGCAAACTATTAAACAGAATAGCGTGTGGTTACATGACTCCGATAACTGATTCAAGACGGGGCACAGAGCTCTGAATAATTTACACGTGTGTGTTTTCCGCAAATAACCTCACTAATTCAATTAGAAACACATACCGTGTAGTATTAATTAGAAAATAATTGTTGAACATTTAAAATTAAGTAGTAATATCGCTTCAAAACGACTGTATCTAAAAAGGGTATTTTTTTTTATTGGTAACATCTACCTTTTATATTAGCCTTATATTATACATAGGTACCCTCCCATCAATCCCCCGCTCAATTCAAACGGTGATCAGAGTTGCGATGGCCTGAGCAGAGGCTCGAAGCGGTGCCCTCAGACTAAAGTCGTATCCGTCAGGTGAAGGTTGACTCCAGTCGTTCCATAAGTCCTTCCGCGGGTTTGGAGTGCCATCTGCACTCGTCCCCTATCGTCCGGTGAAACTATAAAGGCCACCTGCGGCTAACATAAGAGTAGTGCGAAAAAAAGTCATGCATGATCAGGAGCGAAAAAAAATAGTCAAATGAAATCCCTCAGGTTGCGAGCGCTGGATTTCCCGCGCTGATTTTTTTTTCACTCTTTCGCAGTAGTATAGCCATATATTATATACAGGTACCCTCCGATCGATCCCCCGTCCAATTCAAAAGGACCGAAATTACGACGGCCTCAGTCGACATTCGAACTCCTAGCGGTGCCCTCAGACTAAAGTCGTCAGGCAGGAGTTGGCCTTCAGCCGCTCCATAAGTCCTTCCGCGGGTTTGGAGTGCCATCTGCACTCGGCCCCTATCGTCCAGTGAAGCTATAAAGGCCAGCTGCGGCCAACAGCATTAGAGAAGTCCTTGCAACGCGCGATCAGGAGCAAAAAAAAAATGGTTAAATTCAATCCCTTAGGTTGCGAACGCTGGATTTCCCGCGCTAAATATTTTTTTGTCCACTCTTTCGCGCGAGCATGATTCATGTTATTTCACTTTCTTTTAAAATTTAATTTTCATTTCGCAGATAATATTTTCCAGAGATACTTATAAGATTTTTAAATTATCAATAACTTTATGTTTTTGCTATATAGTCAGATGTCCGCCATTTTGCAATGATAATTATTAAAAAAAGGCGCTAAAGCACGCATGATTGCAGAATGCGGGAATACGCTCACTCTGCGCGCCCGGTTTTTCTCGTCTTTTGTCTACATTTACATGCACATTATTCCCTGTGTGATAGCCTATTCGCACGTGAATGTCGTACGTGTATGTAAAGCTATTTTTATTATATGTATATACATGTATATTACGTTATAATGGTAGCTTCCTCTCCAGGGGACTAAGATGTTATACCTTTTAACCTGTAATTTCACTGCACCCCATAACAGAAACAAAGCTTGGTAAGTCAGTTGCTTAGCGACGTAATAGGAGAGATTGAGGTACCTATACAGACGACATTATTACAATATATATATATATATAACTAGCTGTAGAATATGTACTCATATCAGTTATGTGAGGAGCACAATAAAATATTCCGTTCACTGTATCACACCTATCCTACAACAATTGTATTTGTGATTCACTTAACTACCTACATATATTACATCTCCACCCTTATATACTAGTACAATTATATTTTACAAATAAAAACATTTTTTTACATTAGTCGAAGTTGAACCCATATCTGGGTACAGACTTCCAACATACTTCCGAGACGGCTCACCGGTGTTTCTATGGGGTTATCAATATCCGATATCGTAGAAACTCCAGGGGATAATGCCAAATTTGAAGTGATTTTCATGAAATTTATAGCCTATTAGTTATTCTGACTTATAAGCTATATTACTGTAAAGTTTCATTAAAATCGGTTCAGTAGTATTGCGTGAAGTACCAAACATCCATTCATACTTACAAATTTCGTGTTTTACATTGTTTTTCTAACTATAATAGTAGCAATATAATCTTGTAACTCAAAGCATACTGTGGTTACCTATAATTATGAGAACAGTTAGTTTACCATTAGAATTGTATAGAATGATGACAGATTTTTATTGCTGTACCTTGTGTTGGTAATCCTTAGAAATAAATAAATAAATAACTACTGTTTACTAATAATAATAATTAATAATTAGTAAGAAAAACAATGTAAAAGCAAAGTTTTCAGTATGGTGCAAAATTAGAGAAAAGCAACACGTCGGTATTAAAGCTTTGTGTACGTACAATGTAGAGATATTAAATAATACAAGAGTATGCTTCTTTGTCACAAAGACGTGACATGTTTGATTAATTACACGCTGAAAATCCCTCTTATATTTTACTGAAATTAAATAAAATTTATATTTTCGTACTAATATTATATTATAACCACGAAAGTTTGTCAGGATGGATGTTTGTTACATGACATTTCTAGACCTGAATGTATCAGTTATACACTATAGTTTAATATTGAGTATATAGATATAAATACGATTTTGACTGTACATATTACATATAGTATCATTATACGAATATATTATTAGTATACTTCGTTTGCACTTACACTTACTTCACATTTGTATTTCGCACATATTACATAATATATTTTTAAATTACAGCCTATGTGTTATTACGATGTATAAACTATATTACAGTACAATTCCTTTAAAATCCACCCATACTCGCTAAACTTTCGCGTTTATAATACATATTAACAGGCTTACATGATAATCTTTCTAATATTATATTACAAACGAGAAAATGTATGAGTACGGATGCATGGATGTTTGTTACTTTTTCACGCAAAAACTACTGAACAGATTTTGATGAATCTTTACAGTAATATAGCTTATACATTAGAATAAGATATAGGCTATAATTTAAAGAGATATTATAAACATTGGGCGAAATATAATGATAATTGTTAAGTAAGTGTGATGCAGACTAAGATATGCAGCTAGTCACAAAATTTTTTGAAGTTAGTTTGGCATATATAAGAAAATATATGCCTATCATATATGCCCGTTATATGCCCTAACGATATAGTTTATGTCTTCATTTATGTAATTGTAAAAAAAAAACAAACAAGCTGAAGGCCCGCCTGATGGTAAATGATAACCTATATATCTCATCCTTAACAACATTCGTTCAAAAGAGCAACATGAAAATTTCTTGCTCTTTCTTCTTGTGATGACTCTGCTGATTCTGATCTGATGATGTTGTATCTATGAAATAGATACAAAAATTGATATTATGGTTCTGATAGATTGCAAATCTTGCAATTTTTGCCAATTAGAAGAGGAAACTCTACTACATATTCTATGTGGTTGTAGCCTTCTCATGCAAAAACGAAATATCTCCTTTGGAAACTATACACTATATCCTGAGGAGATAAAAACCATCGCTTCTAAGAATATCCTTCAATTCTTGTCCCTGACAGGCCTTTGAACGAGGGCCAGCACAGTAGATCGATATAGGTCGCAGTTCTACAGGTCTTGGCATCTGACAGTAGCCCAAAATCCTCAAATAGCCAACTTTAAGGTAGATACAAAAAATATTATTTGACAATAATTATATGACAAAACTGCTTTTATATTAAAATTTGAATAAAGATTATTTCCATTTAGTACTAGAATTTTTCGAATGACTAATGTACGCAGCATCATTATGTATCCCAAGTTCAATGAGCCATCTTCGTTTAAAAATATCGTAATTTTTAACTATCCACCCTCCATCCTCCTCCCCCCCTCAGGGGTAAGTAACGGAACCATTACGCGGAGGAAGCATTATTTCCGCTCGTTAAGTCGAATACTTTGCCGTTTGATAAATGCTTACTAGCTCTTTTATTTGGGATGTTTTGAGGGTGTGAATGCCGTACCGAGTTGAGTTATTGCATGAATGTTTTGTCTCACATTTTTATGGTGGCTATGGTAATAAAAAATGACAAACGTGGATGCCGTTAGCTTACAAGTAACAGTTGTAAGTTTTGTGTTGTCAATATAAAGTTAGACATAAAAATGTTTCAGATGAGTTTCAATTTAAAAACGCTCTCCGAAATGTAGTAATATGAAAACATACTCTATGGTTGCACACTTTGTAACTCATACATTTACCTATATTACTATATATGTATACTTGAAGTAAAAACTTTTTACAAATATTGCGCTGAGGAAGTATGAAATTACGCACACTTATAATTTATATAGAGAAGGTGTATAATTTATAAAAAAAAATTGTATTACATTAAAAAAAAATCAATACACAGACTACCATATATTTGATATTCACACACACATATATATATACTCTCTTAAAGAAATCAAATATTATGAGTATAAAGTTGAGAGTATATTTTAGTGAAAAGAAATGTAACGATATAATATTATATGACATATCGTAAGAGTCTGTAATAGTCTGTATAATAACCTGATGAATAAATATATCATGATTTGATTTGAATCAATTATGACCTCATTTTCAATATTTGGATACCTCTTCGGGATGCATGACATATACCTACTATTATATATTTAGTAAGATTCTATTCTGTACCATATAGCAAGCAAATATAATATATATAATTTATTTAATATCATTACGACTTTACATTATTATCATCAATGTAAAATCATAAGAATGTTTATTTCAATGTCAACATACCTTTACCCATCATTTTACACTTCACCTGTACGTATTGTTACTTTTAATTCATATATTCATAGCTGCAAATTTATTTATGTATTTAAATTTAATTTATGAACTGTATACGGATTTCACTTAAATATAAACCTTATTTGTTTAGATATAAAGAAGCAATTCAACCATCAACCCCAATCGGCGACGGTTGAGGCCGGTCGAGGGGTGAGTTTCCGCTGCGTGCCCCCACCTGCCGCTCCAACGGCCACCATCAAGTGGACGAGAAACGGTGCCGTGTTGGAAGCCAGCGACGAAACTCTCGTGTTGCCCAAACTTGATTTGCAGGTAAGAGAAAATTTATACTTCATCATCTTTACATAGTATAAATTAAAATCGCTGTCGCTGTCTGTCCCTATGTATGCTTAAATCTTTAAAACTACGCAACAGATTTTGAAGCGGTTTTTTTAATAGATAGTGTTATTCTAGAGGAAGGTTCATATATATGTAATAATAATAATAATAATAATAATCTCAGAACAATTCACACAGCGCCATCTAGACCCAAGTTAAGCTAGCTAAAGCTTGTGTTATACTAGATAACGGATACAAATACAAAGATTTTTTTTTTCGTAAATACATACATATTATACATAGAAACACCCAGACCGATACAAACAATCATACTCATGAATACAAATGTTTGTGCCGTGCGAGGAATCGAACCCGCGACCATCGGTAGTAAGGCGGTGTGTTAAACCGCTAGACCACCGAGGCCGTCAAAACATGTACACCCGTGCGAAGCCGGGGCGAGTAGCTAGTAAAGTCATAAGAATCAGTCAAGTCGTTTCATAAGAGGAGTTTCGTTACAAACTGACACGAGAATTTTATATATGTATCAGACAATCTTATTCACAGGACATGGCTAACTATACTTGTATTGCGGAGAATATAGCCGGCCGCAGGGAGTCGGATGTCGCTGTTTTATCTGTATATGGTATGTTATTTATTATAAAACTGCATATAAAGGGTTAAACAAAAATTTGGACTATTGTACGTATATTGAATTTTTTTTATGGATGATAATGGTATGTCGCATCCTCCTGCACTGACGGTTTACGCTGGCGGGGCACCAGTGGAGGATGATAAGATGAGCATAAGGTCAGGTCAGTTAGCCCATCGTGACAAATTCACAAAGAAATTTATCACGATGGTTTCCAGGGGGAACCGCTTGGAGGTCAACTTGACATGGTACATTGCTAGCAATAATATCATCAATCCACATTAGTAACAGTCTCCTTTCCCCCCGAATATGGAATTACATTTTCGTCCAATAGTCCAAATGTTTGTTTAACTCTCCAGGTGTTAAAAGGGGGTTGGTAAATATTACTTTAGTCTGTAAAACCCGTTCAAACGACTGAAGCTCTTCAAGAGGAAATCCTTTCATTTGGCTACCTAATTAAATATGGCTCACATGTTGATAGAGAAAGCCTATCGTTTCACGTTGACGATGACTGTCTCCGATGTCAGACTGGTATGATGTACTTAGGGCATAGCATATTCCGCTCCATTTTGGATGATGTTAAATATATATGTCTTATTTCTACGACTTTTAGTATTGATAAAATTATGCTTAAGTAAGAATAGAAAAAATGTAATTACACATGCAGCACTATGGACTGTTTAAAATCCAGTCAATATAGTTTTTTAGAAACTGAATTGTTAATATGAGGGTCCAAATTCAAACCGTATTCTGTCTCTGGCTGGTTAGTGTCTTAATTCGATACGCATACATTCGAATGTTAAGTTGAGTTTTTGTGTGTCACTTTTTGGACAAAATATTAATTAAATAAATGTAAATTAAATATAGAAAACAGTAATTAAGATACAATGGTAGAATTTGTGTAATATACAAAAATATTCCAGACAGTTATATTGTCTTTTTTAATAATTCGGATTTATTTGTAAAAAAATATTTTCATTGTAATATCCAAACGAACTTTGTGCATCTACTTAAAATTCCGCGCAAAGTACTTAATTCTGATTTTAATGTACAATTTGAAACTTAGCCTTTCCATGACTTTATACGCAAGTTAAATTTAATAATTCAATTATTGTGAAAAATATACCTAATGTAACGAAGTATTCCTAACATTTTCTTAGTAATGTTTTTTTAAAATGATGCAAATATCTAACTGTTTATATTTGTATATTTATCTTACTAAATTGTAGATCACGGGCTGAAACCTCTCGCCAACGTCGTGTATCGTACCGGTATGTTATATATAAAAATAATAATGGCTTTAATAAGTCCGTATACCAATCGCTTGTGTGAGGACGTCGCTCAACAATTAAACTATTTTAAAGACTAAAGATTGGTTTAATTGTTATGAGGTAATCATCTGAATTTTAATTTATTTCATTTAATAGGAATCTCAGTTAAATCTGAAATACATGCTAATAAATTGAAGTATCTGTTTGTAATTTTGAAGTTCACCATACAACAGCTTTTCAGTAAATGCATACATATATAAGGTAAATGACATTAAAAAAAATCTATTTGTCTGTCCGTTTGTTTGTTCTTGCTAATCTTTGAAACAGCTGGACCAAATTTGCTATCATGTAATGAGTTGTGTAAAGGAGTAACAAGTTTTTTATTTAATATTTTTTTATTTTAACAAAAACTGGGTATATATACAAAGTCAGTTGTGTATATAATAAAATTATCATATCCCTTTAATTATAACTACCAATAAAAGACATAAATAATGTACCTATATCATTTATTATAAAAACAAATAATTAAAACATTGAGCTATTAACAATATTATTATTTATAAATGTTTGTATGTTTGTTCAGTAAACAACATGATGGTCTAGCAGCTAGTCGCCATTTAGTTCTCTATAATAGCTCAAAGTACATGTAGGCATCTAAATCTAGAAGCCCAATTGTGCTCTCAATGATATTCCATGTTCTTACAGTGTAATATGCTTCTTGTGGTCCTGGTATAGCATTTGAGATGGGAGTATACTTCTCTAAAGCATATCCTGGATCTCCTAATAAAAACAACATATAATATACTATATTATTAATATTTATTTACAAAAAGTATTATTTCATTAAAAACACAGCACAATAACTGTTGGTGCTGATAAATAACTATGTTTCTAAATTACTGAAGTTTAGAGCTTAGATGTAATGATGTTTGTAGTTTCATAATAAAATTTTTTTCTTACCAAGTAATCATAAGATTTATTCCAGCTTAAGTCCTCTAGATTCAAACGCCTCTGGTTTGCCCAAATGTCATGAGTAGCTCCAGTTCCAGTTGGCATCCACACTTATAATCTCCATGTCAGCATTACTAACCTAAATTTTTTTTCCAGATTAATTACATAGATGAAGATTATTTGAAACATAAGAGAATAATTAATGGATAAATATTATTTGAAACATATGTCTAAGTGTTATGGTCATTTAATATTTAAGTAAACAATTTATTGTTAGTATATAAGTAGCTTTAGAGATGTATAATCATTATTAATAATTAATATTCTTAATTTATATAATTATATTAAAAAAAGATATTAAAAGTGCTTATATTATTAAACATGTCTTTTATTTTCTATTTCACTTACCAATTATATATTTAATGAATGGTATTGTTTTCTACAGTAATATCTCTTCTTAATTTACAATGGGGTGGCATGTGTACAGTCAAATACAGCCCAATACTCCCACCATTCCAAATTTCAATTATAAAACCTAAAATATAATTAATTTAATTTAATTAATTGTCCTCGGAGGAAAGTGCCGGAGAGACTGCACATCATCAGACTGTTGCATACTTGTATACTTGCTTTCTAGGCTTTACTTGTATGCATACCTTTTACCATATATATTATCACTATATCATATGGTATGTGTTCCTAGATGTATTTGCAACAATAACAGTTGCTAATTGTATAGAAATAGATACCTTTGAATATTTATTATCTATCGTTTACTCAGATGTCCTTAGAATTTTATATATGTATTTACTTTTGGATGTTGGGTAAATGCAATAAATCGGTTATTTGCCATTGGCTGTGCTAGCGAATGAACAGCAATATCACTAGTAGGCCGTTGATACGAGCCTGCAGCATAAATAATAATGCTACTAAAATCTGGCATAGTCAGCTAGTGATTTAGTGAAATAATTACAATACATTTTAGTAAAGTTATATACCTTAGTCAAGGTCTGTAAATTTCGATGATACCGGCATATGAGTTCACACGCATATTACGCAAAATCTTTATTTAGATTATAACGTTTTATAAATTGTTCAAAAAAATTGGTCACGTAATCGTCGTCTTTTCACTTTCCTTAGTAACACATTTCAAAAATTCCAAAAGTTCATCACACATAATTAAAATTAAACGAAACAAAAACAATCGAAATAACTGCATAAAATGTTTTAAACATAAAAAAATGACATAGAAATAGAAATAATAACCAAATTACAATAATGAAGCTATAAATTAGAAAACAATTCTATAAAAGTTATTAAATGAATTGTTTTTAAACGGTCTTTTTGACAGTTGTGTCCGACATTTCAAACGAAACGCTTAATACGAAATAGCCGGTCAGTTTTCGGGCAGAAGACGTTCAGCTGTCACGTGACCGCTGACTGGCTCACAGCGTTCGTAATACGAAATCGCCAGGCAGTTCAGTTTAAGCCGTAAACTGAATGGGAATAAGAGTTCATAATACGGCCCCAGCACTATGGACTGTGAATTAATATAGTTTTAGACTAGTTAATATTCTAGAAATGTCTCTGACTGTCTTAATTGACATAGAGAAACTTTTTGCCTCGCACAACCACATGGAATCACCTTCCAGCAATGGTATTTCCGAACCGATACCATATTGAAACCTTCAAGAAAAGAGCTTATTCCTTTTTAAAAGGCCGACAACGTACTTGCATTTCCCCTGGTGTTGCGGGTGCTTATAATAATCATTTATCTGTAATCTGGCCGTAATCATTTATCATCAAGTGAGCCGCTCGTGTGTCCCCTATGTTATTAAAATTAATAATGTTTAGACGTATTTCCACAACTTTGGTATCTAGGCCAAACTTAGGCTTAATTTTCTATAGGTACTAGAAAAATTAAGGACACATGTCAGCATGGGCATCACGTGACTTTTATAACATAGTACGAATTTTATACATGTTCAGTTTTTTTTTTATTAATATTTTTTTATAAATAATATCTATGTAAGAGTTGTGTTTTATTAGATTACTCTAGAGTGGTCTACCTACTTAAGAGAGTCGTATGTAGACTATTCTAGAAATGTTTGTATGTTTGCTCAGTGAACGGCGGATGGTCGGATTGGTCGCCATGGTTACCTTGTCGGTGCGGTGATCAAACAAGCGGGCGGCGACGCACGCGCACGTGTTCAGAGCCCGCCCCGGCAAATGGAGGGGCGCACTGTAGGGGGGCGTCGTCACAGAGCGACGATGACTGTCTCCGATGTCAGACTGGTATGATATACATTTATTTGGAAGGGGATTGTTAGTCCCCTCCGATCGATACCCCGTCCAATTCAAACGGGGATCGAAATTACGACGGCCTCTCCGAGCGGCACCCTCAGCATCATGTGTGGATGGACTGTCCTTCCGCGGGTTTGAGTGCCTGTAAATCTAAAGAAAAAAAAACACATTTTTTTCAGACTGCTCTAATGCTGTAGGCCTTTACAGCTTTACTGGACGATAGGGGGCGAGTGCAGATGTCACTAAATCCGCGGAAGGACTTGTGGAGCGGCTGAAGGCCAACTCCCGCATGACGGATACGACTTTAGTTAGAGGGCGCCACTAGGGGGTTCGAACCCATATAGACTGTACCATTAATAGCAATTACCATGTCAGGTTCCACCTGGAAACCATCGGGATATGTTCCTAGTAAATTTCCCACGATGAGCGAACTGATGTGTGGTGCCTGACAAGCACAGGCGGGTGTACTGCTTTGAATCTAATGAACTTATTTCTAAAAAAGATCTCTTTCAATCAACCCAATACAACGTGGGTCAAAATATGCAAATGATAATTTTAAAAAATGACGTATAGTAACAATAAGTAATAAAAAAATAAACATTAATAAACTGAAGAGTTCATAAAATGTTTTTATAGAAAAATATCTAACTTAAAATTCATGACTATAAATGTTGTGTTTTAAATGTTTTTTTTTAATTTTGGACATTTAAACATTGCACTAGTGTTACCCACTCACTACTAGCCATGTCACACTGTTGGGTTGACTGGTGGAGATCTCTTTTAGGAATAAATCTAACTTTGTATATAATTAAGTTTTCTACTCTGTTTAAAACTGCAATAAAGAATATAATAAATATCAGATTACAAAAAGAATGAGTGCGTAGCATTTTCTATATTCATTGTCGCAGGTCTCCTTCTTGTTAATGTGTATTTTTCAAAACAACATTTATTTAAAAGAGCAACACACAAGATCATTCTTCTTGGATGAGTCTGCACTGTAGTGAATAAAAAAAATGTGACTATTCAAAAGTTTTTATATTAAGATTACTTGTATTTCTCTTAGTTATTATAACTTTCATTCTTATAATGTTGAGGATTTTATTGCTAGGTGGTACCTGGTCAGTATGGGGCGCATGGTCCTCATGCAGTGAAGACTGCGTTAGGGTGAGGAGAAGAAAATGCTCAGGGTCCTGTACGGAGTCTTCTCTGCAGCACGCATCATGTGTGGATGGACTGTGTTCTACAGGAATGAGTGAGTTATTATTTCTAGATTTTATTACAATTGTCTGATCTACTCTACTCGCTGATCTTGGAATAGTTAATAATTATTTGGCAATTCTTTTGTGGACTCCGGCGATACAGGCTCGCCTAGTGCGGGGTCCAATGTATAATCAACTTTATTATATGGAACACCAAACCATAATAATAATATACTTATAAATTATCACTTACGTAGCATATATCATTTTACTATACATATATTACTATACAATAAATAAGTGTGTCACATCAAGCACTCACTACGGGACGTTTTATATATCTGATTATGAATTATCATTATTAACAAGTGCAGGAACAACCCCTAGGAATTAATGTAGGAATATTTGTATGTTTGAAAATAAATAAGTATATCTAGACTGAGTAACTTATTCAAATTCAAAATATCTTTATTCATGTAGGTCTATTACAGACTCTTATGATATGTCAAATCTACTTATGCAGATAATGTTAGATTGGAATAATAAATATACCTTGTTAATTAATTATAATTAATTGTTAATTAGTTATAATGTATTTCTTTTCCAATGCCATGCTCATATTATACTAGCTGACCCCGCAAATATTGTATTGCTTTATAAATTAAAATCGCTATTAAAAAATAGGGGTTGGTGATAGAAGGCTAAAAAATTAGGATTGTATGTATTTTTAATGCCACAATACATAAAAAAATTGTCCAAAAAATAAAAAAAAGGTTTTTTTTATTATTTTGTTTAATTAAATTAACTACTACTTTTTTTTTTTTACTTGGAGAAAATACCTGCATTTTTTTTATTTTTTGGACAAAATTTATCACTTAGTGTTATAAAATAGATAGTAGCCGATTCTTGGACCTACTGAATACGCATATAAAATTTTATAAAAATCGCTCAAGCCGTTTCGAAGAATATAGTAACTGACATTGTGATACGAGAATTTTAAAAGATAAAAAAAAACTGTAGTTTGGGATATAATGTGTGGAAGGGTGAAATTAGATCACTATTTGATGGTCTAATTGTTTCTGAGCATTACTAAATAGGTCTGAGCGTTCTTCAATAAGTACTTATTAATAAGTATTGGGTCCAGGCTATATATTAATACAATTTCACTGAATTAGCACTCAATTTAATAGTGTTTTAATCATACTCGAGGAATGTTGCGTGCGTGTCGAAAAACCGGAAGTGTTAACATAATCTTATCTTAATAATATTATAAACGCGAAAGTTTGTATGGATGTTTGTTACTCTTTCACGCAAAAACTACTGAACGGATTTTGATGAAACTTTACAATCATATAGCTTATACATCAGATTATATAGGCATACATTTCATGCGAGGGAAACCGCGGGCACAGATAGTTAATATTATGAACGCGAAAGTTTCTGAGTATGGACGGATGTTTGTTAATCTTTCACACAAAAACTACTGAACGGATTTTGATGAAACTTTACAGTAATATAGCTTATACATCAGAATAACAAATAGGCTATAAATTTCACGCGGGTAAAACCGCGGGTACAGCTAGTAGATATTAATTTTCAAAAATATTTCCAAAAGGGATATACACAAATAATACCACCATGTACGTGGGTATTGGTATCACGGTCCTGATGCTGGTAGCTGGTGCAGCTGTTCTATACGTCTGGTGCAAGTATAGGAGCAGCAGACCAGGGTACGCGGCGGGGAGACCAGGTAAATCATCTAATCATGATTATGATAATATAACTTATATTTTAATAATATAACTTACTTGTTTTCTAACTGCTGGGGAAATCTATCTCTTTATAAGGATTAAGAATAGACAAAAATATTTTTTGTTGACGGACTCGATCGAATAGAGGTTTAGCACATCGCTTGACTTCCAACGGTCGCATGTTTTATTCCTCGCACGATTTAAATATTTGTTTTCATGAGTATGGTTGTCTGTATTGGTCTGGGTGTTTTGTATGTATCTTATTTATGTATTGAGATTTTTTAATGCTTATTGTACAATTAATACTAAATGTTAAGCTAATAAAAAACCGACTCCAAAAACTAAAAAAGTGGGATGGATCTAAAAATAAAAAAGCAATGCGCTTACAAATATTCCAAAAAAAAAACACCTAATGGTCACCTCGTGCTTCTTGTACGTACCTTTAAAAATGAAAACAAAACAAAACCTATTTTTTTTATTAAGTCTCTGAATTCCTGTTTTTCTAGCTTTCTTAACAGATGTTTTTTATATATTAGATAGTAAGCTGTTGGTTTTCTAATAAACAAATGAATAAATAATATATATTTCCTAGTATATAATACCTATGTTAAATATGTTTTTGTTAATTTAGGGTTACCAAAGTCGTATTCAAACCGAGACAAGGGTAACACCGCTCCGGATCTCACGCGAACATGCAACGAATACTGGATGCAGGTCCCTGATAATCATTACGACTTACCACACCTAAGAGACAGGTAAATATATATTTTAATTTGTAATTAAATATATTTTTTTATACAACTGTTAGCTACTCGCCCCGTCTTCGCACGGGTGTACATGTATTATATATATAAACCTTCCTCTAGAATCATTCTATCTATAAAAAAAAAACAGCTTCAAAATCCATTGCGTACTTTTAAAGATTTAAGCATACATAGGGATGGACAGATAGCGACAGCGAGTTTGTTTTATACTATGTAGTGATGATGGAAAACAAGAATACGGCCTATCTCTATACGGTTACCATACCGAATTGTATGTAGTCTTTATTGAACTTAGAAAAAAAGTATTTTATATATTGATTGATAGTATAAATTATAATTTATTCTAGCGATATTAGCTGTCTTTATGTCAGGTTGCACACAGTTTCCTCTGGCAACCACACACAATAACCTGTGATAATTTTGTTATAGGATAATATATGTATTAACTACATCATTATTGATAATTGTTAAATCTTAAACGTGTCTTTGAATGTAAATCTGTGCAATAAAACTATAGATATTAAGTCATACGTGCAATCACGCGCAAAAAGGTGAACAAAAAACAGTTAAATGCAAACTCACGATTGAGCACGCTGACGTTCCAGCGTTAAATCGCGCGCGTTTCTGATCGTGCGCTCTCCTGTTCACGCGCTCTCCTGTTCACGCGCTCTCCTGATCCCGCGCTACCCTGATCACGCGCTACCCTGATCACGCGCTACTCTGATCGCGCGTGAATGAACGTGTCGTATAAAGGAAGATAATGAGTATCTTTGTCCTAGTTATTCATCACCATTCGGCAACAGAAGTCGCCAGCAGTCAACCGCAGGTAGTAATCACTACGAGATGAAGCCGTACAGTCCATCAGCTGACTCTGCATCTAGTTGTTACACGAATTGTGAGTATACTTCCGTAAACATATTACACTCGCTCTATTTTAGGACTTGCCGTTACCCGCGACTTCGTCCTTTTGGAATATCTTTATTTTATTAGAATTAAAAAATATGATATTATATATCTGCGAGTGCTCTCATCACAAGACAGTAGTTAGACAATTTTGTAGAATCTTTATTTATTTAATAATAAAAAGGTTAATGTCTAGGCTAAATATACAGCAAATAGAGTCAAAAGTACGGTACTTTAAATACTACGAGATTTTTTTGTATATTTTTTTAATTTGTTGTGACAGCTCGAACAATGACCTCCCGGTCCAGTGAGTGTTCATCATCACAAATGGCGGACCTCGTGACTTCATCACCTACCTCAATATCGAAAGTGGACGTAGCGGTGACCCTACCAACTGGTCCAATGGATACAAGTTATAGAGACAAAATCTGCTTAACCATAGTTAAATAATATGTTATTGTTTATTTTATATCCAAAAACAACGAGTGTACGATTTTTTTATGTATGATTTATTAAGCACAAATTGTAAATGATTGGTTGGATGGTTGATGAATCGATAAAGACTATGTAGGGTTACCATTTAAAAATTAGAAAGAAGTGAAAATAGTTGCCCTTTTGAAAAGATTAATTTGTAAATAAATTAAAAGGAAATTTGAATATTTGTATTTTTTAAATTAATTACGAAGTCAATTTAAAAATGGAACAACTATGTAAATGATATCATCCATACCTATAAAAATTCACTTAAGTGATCTACGGATTAAGTTTTTTCGAAAAAAATAAGTATTTCCGGAAAAATCTGGACGAGTTGTAATCCTACTTATATTGCATTATATCATGACTAAATCAATTATTGGATTGAGAAGTAATTAGTCTGTTCGAATGCAACAGGTTCAATTCCTACGTATAAAAGTGCCTACAATACGGGTTTTAGGACATAAAAAAATGTTGAAACTAGCATAAGAAGGAACGAGACGCCTAATATTCCTATCTCGTTCTACTGAATACGTTGTAGTAAACATGAGTACAATAATTTGAATCGAAGATGGCTCTCTGATTAATTTCGTTGTTTTCCATCTTCAGAGAGTTGATAAAAAAAATCAAATGTACTAAAATTTCTATCATCGATAACTTCCCCTCAGATCGATACCCCGTCCAATTCAAACGGGGACCGAAATTACGACAGCCTGAGCCGAACTGAATGAATTGAACTGAGCTGAACTGATGAAGACTAAAGTCGTGTCCATCAGGCCGCGTTCAGCGGCTCAATGAGTCCTTTCTAGTTTGGAGTGCTATCTGCCTTATCGTTCGGTAAGGCCAGCTGCGGCCAATAGCATTAGAATATTTCGAAAATTAAACAGCACCCACATATGATTGTCCACGATGACAAACCTCCTTGTTGTAGACAGTATGGTGTCTTCCTACACTTGCATCGTTTCTCCGTATCTCTCGGTGGATTTGTTCTTCATTGGCCTTGTAATCCTCGAGATAGAACCTCCATGCTAAAAGATCGGCCGATTCCTGTGCGTATTAGGCTTTCCCCCGCTTCAGTATCGTGTTTTCCTACTCTTGCATCGATTCTCCGTATTACTCGGTGGATTCTTTTTCATGTCGGTGCATTTCTTCTATGTCCTTGTAATCTTTGGGATCGAACCTCTTTGCTAAAAGATCGGCCGACTGCTGCGCGTTTAACGCTTTCCTCCACTTCATTATTGTGTTTACCTCCTCTTGCATCGATTCCTCGTATTTCTTGGTGGATTTCCTTTTCATTGGTCTTGTAATACTTGGGATAGCATTTCTTCTTCTATGTATTTCCTTGTAATCTTTGGGATAGATTATTGTGTTTTCCTCCTCTTTGCTAAATACTTGGGATAGATAGATCCTTGGATCGGCCGACTCCTGCGCGTTTAACGCTTTCCTCCACTTCATTATTGTGTTTACCTCCTCTTGCATCGATTCCTCGTATTTCTTGGTGGATTTCCTTTTCATTGGTCTTGTAATACTTGGGATAGATAGATCCTTGCTAAAAGATCGGCCGACGTTTAACGCTTTCCTCCACTTCATTATTGTGTTTTCCTCCTCTTGATTCCTCGTATTTCTCGGTGGATTTCCTTTTCATTGGTCTTGTAATACTTGGGATAGATAGATCCTTGCTAAAAGATCGGCCGACTCCTGCGCGTTTAACGCTTTCCTCCACTTCATTATTGTGTTTTCCTCCTCTTGATTCCTCGTATTTCTCGGTGGATTTCCTTTTCATTGGTCTTGTAATACATGGGATAGATAGATCCTTGCTAAAAGATGGGCTGACTCCTGCGTATTTAACGTTTTCCCCTCTTCCTCCATCATAATTCTTTCCTCCCTGTTCCTCGTTCTTTCGACGTAAATTCCCTCCTCCTATAATTCTATAAATTCCTCCCATAATCTCTCTTTTTCCTGCTTCTCGCAGAATCCCCTCTAGCGTTTATGTTATCAATCTTTAGTCATCTCTTACGACCTCTCGGGGATGTAAAGGAAAGAAATATTCTATTCTTACTTCATCCCCAAACAGATTAGTTTCGATTTAATATATTAAATAGAATATAAAAATGCACACTTGTGGAATTAACAACTTTTTTTAAAGTTACAATTAAGATTAACCTTCTGTTGTTGTTAACGGTTCTACTTAACCTTAGTATGTAATTGTAAATATTGTATTTAAAACTGTGATATTTTGTAATAAATATTATTAAACAAGTCCATCGTTTTTTTTTTTTAATATCTAATGCCTGATTTCCGCATATGTTTAATATATAGTATTGTAAAGTTGAAGAGTTTGTTTGTTTGGTTGACCGTGCTAAGTCAGTTTCTACTGAGTTTTTAACAATTCACATAGCACCAATCCACATTCACTAGTCCAAGCTGAGCAAAGCTTGTGATATGGATACTAAACAACTGACTTTTTTTTTGTAAATCGAAATATACATAGAAAACACCCGGGCCGATATAAACAACCTTACTCATGAATACAAAGCTTGCACAGTGCGAGGACTCGAACCCGCGACCATCGGAAGTAAAGCGGTGTGCTAAACCGCTAGACCACCGTGGCCGTCAAATGAATTGAAATATTGCACAGTGTTGGATATTCCATTATTTAAGAGCGAGTATGACGTGTTCGTGCTAGTTCCATTTACATCAAAGAAGGCTATGTAAGTATGTATTTAAAAATTAGAAATTCTCGACAATAGTCAGATATATCTAAAATGCCCGGTTGTTCGTTGTTATTCGGGAGGACTAAGACCTTATGCCTCTGTATTATGTGCCTTATTCTTTGCCATGATATCGGTCAAATGAAATATAGCTTAAACAAAGCAAGCCGGTACGAATAGGTGGCACAGATGTAGGTATACAGCCAACAGTATATAAATTCTTTTTGTTTGTTTTTTTTCGGACTACACCAATTCTGTTGGCTAATTGCAGCTGGCCTTTTCAGCTTCACCGGACGATAGTGGGCGAGAGCAGACATCACTCCAAACCCGCGGAAGGACTTATGGAGCGGCTGAAGGTCAACTCCCGCCTGATGGATACGACTTTAATCTGACGGCACCGCTTGGGGTTCGAACCTCGGCTCTACCGTCGTAATATCGATCCCCGTTTGAATTGAAATCGATCGGAATTGTAAACTTTATGCGTCAAAAACAATAAACTTTGGGAGGCACTTTAACTCAGTCTATATAGAAACACTTATATATACGTTAGAAATAATACATTACCAAACAACTACGGAGTTCTTCAAATTAATGTAAAACGTCAAGTACTTAAGATAAATAGGGAATGTATAAAAATTATCTACAAGAATCCGACGGCGTGGTATAAATATAAAACAATTATCTACGCCACTTAAACTGGACCACCCAATAAAGTTATGTCAGTGTGTAATTTTTCAAGCCCCTTTTAATGTTGGATAACGAGTACCCTTTACAACACACGACACGTCATCGCGATGTATATAAATTTATTATTTATTTATACAAGTAATTAAAATTGAAGTGTCTGTTTGGTTTTCTCAAAATAACAACTAAATGAATATTACTTACCTAAATATATAATTTAAAAAAAAATTGTTACCTGTTTATTCTTGCTTATCACTGAAACGGTTGGACTGATTTTTTAATAAGTGTTAGACGGCAGTGTCTGTTGTTTAAAGGTTTAACCCACCGCTTTAGTTGCTTTAGTCGCGAGTTCAATTCCTAGCACAGTGGACAACATTTGTATCAGTATGATTGTATCGGTCTGGGTGTTTACAAAAAGAATGTTTCTATATATTTTTATCAGTTAACTAATACAAAGGGTATACACACGCTCTGCTTAGCTTGTGACTAGATGGCGCTGTGTGCAGAAGAAAAAAGGTTTGGAACCCATTGTTGTCTTATATTATATATATATATATATATTTATATATAAGGACTTCCTTTAAACATGTGGTAGAATGTTTTATGTTACATAATATAACATTTTAAAAATACATAAAGTCTAGTCAGTTAATAATTTAGTCTATCAGTAATTCACTACTTTTCACAACGATATACGAGTAAAATCAGCCTACGAGAATGTTATAGAGCTGGTAAAAAATAAATCGTATGAGTTCCACAAAAACTCAATTAAAAATTGTTGTTCCTATCCAAAGATCGTATAGGAATCGTGACATGTAAACGGACCAACCATCAGAACCATTTGGAAGAACTATTTCTGTATCATGTCATTAGTCAAAGTGTATGAGTTAAACACGAGTTCAAAGTTCCCTTTTAACTGAACGGTTACATTTGTCACTTATATCCTAATTGGTACTGTTATAGAAACGAACGGTTAACGGTCATAACAATTGTTTGAAATCCGGGTCTAAGTTATTTGAGATAAGTTTAGAGAAAACTGCTGGCACCTATCTATATTGACATCGCTGTTACTCCAGTTAGCTCGTGACCACGGCTATTGCAACCTAGTCGAAACGTCGAGAGAGGTAAATACCTTTATTTGCCATAAAATTATTCGTATTAAGACCCGTTTAATAATATAAAAATTATATATATTAAATACGAAACTTTAAAACTAAGTTTACAAAAAAACTTAAACAAGAATAACGTAAGATTTTGTTTTAAAACTTAGTAACTTATGCAAGAACAACGTAAACTTTTGTTGTAAAACTATAATTTATGTAAGAACAACGTAAAATTTTGTTGTAAAACTATAACTTATGTAAGAACAACGTAAACTTTTGTTGTAAAACTATAATTTATGTAAGAACAACGTAAAATTTTGTTGTAAAACTATAACTTATGTAAGAACAACGTAAAATGTTATTGTATAACTATGTAACTTATGCACGAACAACATATAATTTTGTTATAATTTTATAATTCCCTTTTGATTTTTTTTCTGACTACTCTAATGCTATTTAGATGGCATTCCAAACCTGCGGAAGGACTTATAACGGCCAACTCCTGTCTGACGAATACGACTTCAGGCACTGCTAGAATAAAGATAGTAAATGCACTCTAGAATGTCAGGTCTCTATGGTTTAGCGGTTTAGTACACCGCCTTTCTTCTGACGGTCGCGGGTTAGATCCTCGCACTGTACAATCAAATTTCGACGACCTCGGTGGTATACCGGTCTAGCACACCGCTTTACGTCCAATGGTCGCGGGTTCGATTGTTTGTATCGATCTGGGTGTTTTCCATGTATAATATGTATGTATTTACGAAAAATAAAATCTATGTGCTTGTATC